GTCGCGCCCGCGCTCGCGGCCGGCGCCGCCGCCGATGGGGACGCCGGGCGGGTGTGGCCGCGGGCGTCTGTTGACTCTGGGGCGTCGAGCAGCCCCCGCGTTGCGTGGGCCCAGCGGGACGGGGCGCCCCACAAGCGGGTGCCCAGCGCCACAGGCGGCTGCCGCATCACACTCAACGCGGCCTCTGCCCCCCGGGATGCAGCGGAGGACGCCGCAGGCGGCGACGGCGCAGCGGCCGCTGCGCCGGCTGGTGCGGCGGCGGCGGCTGCCGAGCAGCTGCCGCGGCGGCTGTCGCTGCGGTCGCCGGGCAGCGCGCGCGCGAGCGCCGACGGCGGCAGCGCAGGTGCGGCAGTGGGGGCCGCCGCGCCGTCCGCTGCGGCCGTCCTCGGGAACGTGCGGGCGCTGCTCCGCACAACCAGTGACGGCGCTGCGCGTTCGGCCCCTGAGGGTGCAGCGGCGGGGCCGGCGGGGACGGCGGCGCCAGAGGCGGCGGCGCCAGACGCAACGGCTTCAGAGGCGGCGGCGCCAGAGGCGGCGGCGCCAGAGGCGGCCGCGCTAGAGGCGGCGGGGGCCGAGGCAGGTCCGCCTGAGTTGGCCAGTGGAGATGCTGCGGCCGAGGCTGGGGCCGAAAGCACGGCCGCCGCTGAGGGGGAGAGGGCAGATGAAACGCCAGCGGCGGCAGCCGAGGAGGAGCCCGAGTCGGCGCCAGCAGCCATCTCCCACACGCACACTCCCTCCGCCACCGCGGCGACGGCATGAACGCGGCGCCGTCTTTGCGCCCTTGTCGCCCGCTCTGTGGGCCGCACCTGTCGTGTTTTCTGGGCCTGTTCGTGCGCACACTTGTGGGCCTGGCGGTTGCTCACGGCACCTGCGGGCGTTGGAAGGCACCCCGGCACGCTGGCGAGGTGTCAGCGCACCCGCTCCCGCGACGGACCCCTGAGCAGCCGTTTGTTGGTTTTGGGGCGCAACACAAGCGAGCGCCGGTTGGCTGCATAGCTGCGCATAGTGGGGTGTGGCGCTTTGTAGTGGACTGTTGTGTTCTTGGAAATTGTCAGGGTGGGCAGGCACGCGCCCTTTTGCGCGGTGCCCTGCCCTGCGTGAGTGTACAGCGTGCCGGGACACAGCAAGGCCGGCGTGGAGTGAGAAGCGCGGACGCAACAACACTGTCCAGCAGAGAGAAAACAGCAATCACACAACATACATTCCACCATCTTCAACACTCGCGTGCGGAGGCTTCTTGTTTTGCTGATTGGTACGACGTGAGCGGCGGCGCGAATCGTGTGTATCGCGCGCCGCGTGTGCTTCCTGCACACCGCACCACAAACGTGATTGGCGTAATGTGGGGGGGCTTTCTGAGCCTCATGCGAGAGCGGCGGCACTCTTCTCGGCAAGCACGCTGCAAACGGGGACCCCTTCCCCTTCCTACCACCCTCCTGGTGACTGCGACGAGCCGAATTTTGGGGAGTAGCAGGGTTGCTCTTCCGCTATGCTCTCTTTCTGGTCCGATTTCAAAGAGACGCGTTTTTGACTGCCTCAGGGGTGGATTTGGGACAGCCCGCCCCTTGGCCCGTGGCCGGGTGCCAGAGCTGCTGGACGGCGGCCCCAATCAGCGGGCTGCTCCTGTATTTGTAACGCCGGCGTCACGGGCACCCGCGGCCACACTGGTTCCACGCACGCGTAATTGAGGATGTACGGTCAGGGGAGACAAGCTTTGGAGTGGTCTGTGACGTTGCAACTGGAGGATGCGCATTGGCTAAAGCGCGGTCACCTGAACAGGGCGGCCAGCTGGTGTCAGCTCTCGCCAGCGATGACACGAGATGGCAGTTACAGCAGCCAGCAGGGGCGCGGCTTGCTCCGAGCTCTGCAGCCCTGAAGTAGACGCAACCCCCGTAGCCGGCCGCACGCGAGAAAGTAAACATACAAAGACACACGCATACATATCCCCCTGCTCAGGCCGCGACGCCATGCACTTGGCTGCAGCCCGGTAAACCACCCCCGCCGCCCTCCCTACGTGCGGGGCACAGCGCCCCTGCCCCGCGTGAGCGCGCCGCCGCCGCCGGTCGCCGGCCGCCGGCCCCTTGAGGAGCTGCCTCCGGGCGTCCTCTCGCCCTGCGCGCCCAGCAGATCGCAGCTCACAGCTTGCTGGGCGGGCTGTACCAGTCCCAGGGGTTGGGCGACACGTAGGTGGTCACCTGCTTCACACTCAGGTAATTCTCCAGCCCCCACTCCCCCAGCTCGCGCCCAAAGCCGCTGTTTTTGATGCCGCCCCAAGGGGCCTTCGACGGCGGGGGCGACGAGAGTGCGGATGAGTGCGTGCGTTGACGAGGTGTGTGTCAAAAACGTTGTGTCGACGAGACGCGCGCGACTGCCAAGGGCGATTTTGATGCCCCAAAACATGTGCCAAGTGCACTAACAGCCGTTGCATGCACTTCAGAGCAATGGGCCCCCGCGAGGGCCGGCTTGGGCAGCCGCATCTGCACGGGTGTCGTCAATATGTCGTGCAACTTCACATGAACGCCGTGCCCCCCGCGCCCACCTGGCAGAAGCAGGGCTGGCTGCAGTTGACCCACACGATGCCGGCCTCCAGCGCCTCAGCCACCCTCTTGCAGCGCTCCTCGTCGGCGCTGATGACGGCCCCGGCCAGGCCAAACTCGCTGTCGTTGGCGCTCTCGACAGCCTCTGCCTCGGTCTCAAAGGTCGACACTGCAGTATGGGGAAGAAAGGGAGGGGGAGAGTTTGGATGCGCACGTGCGTGCGTGAGTGCATGTGCGCTTGCGGTGTGATTGTGAGTGTGTGTATGCGTGTGTGTGTGTGTGTGTTCACACGTGAGTATGAAAGTATGTGCATGTGTGTATATGTGCATCCATATCAGTACATGTGTGTTCAAGAGTCAGAGGAGGGGAGGACTCGCGATGGCATGTTGGGAGATGGTGCGAGACACGTCCGTCGGCAGAGCCAAATGAATCAAGTCGAGCAGCCTGCAGGAGCAAGGTCGCCGCCGCAAGCTGATTTCAAGCCAGAACACAACCCCCACAGCCACCGGGTTAATGATGCAGGTGTGTGATGCGGGGCGAAGCATTGACCCTTGAACCCTCTGACCTGACAGGACAGGGCCGAAGATCTCCTCCTTCCAGATGCGCATGTGGGGCCGCACGTTGATGAACACGGTGGGCTCGAGGTAGAAGCCGCGAGGGCACACCGCGGGCCGCTTGCCGCCCGTCAGCAGCGTGGCGCCGTCGTCGATGCCGGCCTGCAGGGGCGTCACGCAAGGGCCGATTTATCCACGTGTCGGAAGGTGGAGAGTATGAGAGAGGGTGTGGAGGCAGAAATGAGTGAGCGTGGGAGCAGGGTGCAGGACAACAGCTGACAGGCAGTGGTGCACTCAGCAGGCCGCCAGGGTGCAGGCACTACCCCACATATCCTCAATATCGTCATCTTATTTCTGCCATCATGGTGGGTGCATGGGGCCATTGACAAGTACTACCCACAACCGCAGCACACACTTACATACACACACACACACAGACAGCGGCTCACCTGCACGTAGCTGCTGACGCGCCTGTATTGGGCCTCGCTGACAACCGGCCCCAGCCTGCAGCCGGGCTCCAGGGGGTCCCCCACCCTGATGGACTGAGCCCGCGCCTTGAGCTTGCCGTAAAAGTCCGCGGCGATGGACGAGTGCACCAGGATGCGGCTCGTGCTGCTGCAGATCTGGCCTGGATGTTCGCGTGGTCGCGGATTCACAGGTGAGAGGCGGGGTCAGCAGAGGCGCGGGGATGCGGCAAGCGTGTGCGGCTGTCTACGGCCGGTGCCTGTACTTCCAGAAAATCCCACACACACCCGCGCGCCCACCCATACACCCGCTGACCCGCCCACCCAACCACACCTGCGCCCACTCACTCGCGCGCAC